AGTGCCTGAAGATTACTCCGTGTGGCTATAAACGACTGTTAAATGGAATGATGAATTGTTGAAGGATTTTGAAAACAGAAAAAATGATAGTCATGCTGGCCTAGCATCCTCAACGTTGAAAAATGCTCCGGCACGAAGTGGTTAAAGTTGTTTTCTTGTTAGTTTGAGCTTTGCACTGAAAATCAGACCTGAACGACTGATCTGTGTTTAAACTTTCCTGAGCAGTTAGTCACATCAAGTTCAGTTCAATATGGCAGAAAAGTGTCATGTTTTTGCGGGAAGATGATGTTAATGATATTTTTGTGACCAACACTTTTTTCACTGGAGCAGTCAGGATCTAATGTGGTGAAGACATTCCAGGTACACTGCACAAGTTCGCCTGGTGTTTCATCAATGTGCTTTATTTTCAGGAGGTAAAGCCCAACCTAACAGAGAAGATTCCTGACCTATCGTTACCGCTCGACAAGGCCTTGGATGAGTTAATGGACGGTGATATAATCGTCTTCCAGAGGTAGGCCCAGCTTGCATTTTGGAGTTTTTGAACAATCATTTGGGTCTGAGCTCAATTAGAATACTGTCTTTTATATCCTCTTTATTTAACAAATTTCAAGTTGAAGTCTTCAGACCAAAAGATGTTCATGCTGTGATGCCCATTCAGAAATAGTACAACCACACAAAATGGTCCAACAATTCACCGCTCAAGTGACCTCGGTTAGATTATGGTGAACTGTATTTTTCACTCCAAACATGCCCTGTTCGTTGGGCCCAATGTACTGCCGGGGTTTGAGTTTTATCTTCTGGGGAAGGCCACAACCCTTCCCCTGACATGACCATTGTCAACCTGAGTCTTCTTGATTGGTCCTCAGAGACGACCCAGAGATTTCCCAGTACGAGCTGCCCACAGCGAGAGAGTACTTCAGAGATCTCTTCTATCGGGTTGACGTGACTTTCTACGACAAGAACAACTCCACCGACCCCGGTTTCACGCTGATGCTCTCCCAGAAGATGAACTACTTCCAGGTTCAGAGATAACCTTCAAAAAATCATTTTGCCGGATTGTCTCCCCAAATTGATTGCACAATTGTAATATTAAGGGTATATGTATATGCATTCTTCATCTCCAGTTTCAAATTTGAGTGCCTTTGTAGCCATCATGACTCCGCTATCTCTGCTGTCTGCATGCGTAGTTTTCTGTGACAATGGGAATGTCAGTTTTATTTTTATTTTTTCTCTCCTGTAATTGATTTCCACTAGATTGCCAAGGCAGTAGCAGCTCAGCTAGACACAGACCCAATGTTGCTGCAGTTTTTCAAGAGTCAGGGGTGAGTGAACGCACCGTCCATGATGCCAACGGAGTTTTCAGTAAAAGAAGTGCTTGGGTTTAAACAGTATTTGAAATTAAAATCTCCCTCTTTTTCTTGATCATGGGCTAGTTCGTCATCATTGTCACAGATGGACAAGCATGCTAAAAATGACAGTTTATTCGAATTCCGCCTTTTTTCTCTCACTATTTTGCTTTATAAACATCTCACTTAACCACTTTGACTTGCTTCCGCATAGCATCTCAGTAACTGCATTCTTCATTTTCACAAAGGTCGCAAATATGCCTGTACAAAGTGCGTTGCCCTAAAAGGTATTAAAATAGGTCAGCTGAGAGTTTCATTTGTACAAAAAGTTTCATGCACATCAACATGCACTCCCCTTCACCATGGGAAAACACATTGACCTGAGGGGTGTAAATGGAGAGAAATGGGAATTTTCATTTTCACAAAGGAGCAGCCATCATGAAGAATTAATTATAGCTAATGAACCATTGTGTTCATGCCAATTACTTGGTTCACGTATAAGTTAACCTTTCGAAGAATCACGCAAAGGTTTCAATATGTCATAAAGTTGTCAAATAGTAGTGGTTTTTGCCATTTGAAAAAGGGAGAAAGGTTTCTTGCGATTAAAAGCCGAAGGTTGGGTCATAAGTCAAAGATGTAACCACAGGACCAGTAGCGGTTTACTTTGTCAGTAACAAGACACTGTGTTCCAGTGAAAGTATTTTGTTGTCCATTCGCCAGTTACAAGTAACTTCATGACTGCCTAATAAAACAAGATTGACAGCATTTGTATTTCACGTAATAAATGATAATGTCCCTTCATCTTTGCTAAGATCATTCTCTAATGTGCAGCACAGTTAGTGGTTGTTAGCTTTGAGTGTATCTTGGTTTTAATTCTGAAAATATCCAGGCACAGGGATGGTCCAGGTCACCCACTACGCTGTACATACGACGGGACTCTGAGAGATTTACTTTCAACTCTCAAGCCCAGACAACCCAAGAAGCTGTACTACCAGAAGGTGTGATAGTTGTCTATCCCTCCAGTCACAAACTTTAACCGGTCTCTCATGGGGACTGTTGCTCTGCAACCCTCACTTTCTTGGGTGAAGAGTATGGGAAATAGTTGGCCCTAGAAAATAGCTGTGCCGGCACATTGTCTGCAATCATACCTGGAAAAGCACCCCTTCTTCAGTTTGGGTCTAACAGAATTTGGAATTCTTTCTATGTCTTGAATGCCATACTGAGAGAATAAAACAATAACTGATTTGGTATTAGTTAATTTACTTGCATTAGTTGGAAATCACCCCAGCAGTAGCTTGAAATTGAATTATACGACCGTGAGTTCACCATTGCCCAACAGGCAAAACCATGGTTCCACTTGCTGCTGTTTCGTTTCGGCTATTTCAGACTGTTCCTGAGTTCTGTTCCATTAAGAAGTTGACAGTCACAAATTGGTATATGAAAGCTGAAAGCTGATCTTCTTCATTGAATTTGTTCTCACAGCTGAGTATAAAGATCAACGAGCTGGAAAACAAGAGACAATTCAAGTGCTACTTTGTCAACGCCAAGCTCAAAGAAGAGGTGAGTATACATGGGCGGGGTTTTGGTTGGAAAAGGGGGGGGATGACTGAAAGTGCAGAACACATAGGGGAAGGATCAAGCAATTTTGTTATATTACTGCTCTAATGATGTCAACTTGTTTGGATTTAATGAGCCTACATGTAATTCATAATAAACAACGTTTGCAAAAAGATATTTAGTTTGCCATTTGGGAATGAATAAAGCGGCCGGCCATCACATTACCTCTGATATATAAGCATACCTGCCGATTGTTCCAATTTAACCCAAATTATCCCGATTTTTTCGTTTACAGACTGCTAATCCTAACATTCCAACTCCCTTGAAAAGGGGAAAACAGTAACCTGTATGTACGTGTACATGTATGCAAAAAAGTCGTGCGGCTGCTTTGTTTTGCCATCCATGGGCTCGTAAATCGGATGTTATACGTCAATATTCAATATCGGAAGGCATACATAAGCAAGTGAAAGACCCTTTAAAACTTTCCTGCCCTTTTTCCCTTCTAATTTCAGGAGTTGGTCTTGTACCCAAACAAAACAGACACCGTAAGGGATCTACTAACAGAAGCTAAGAAATACGTCATGTTAGCTGAAAGCGGCACTGGCAAGCTCAGGTAAGCTGACCAAAATGTCATATCTTTCCCCAGGCTTCCAAGACATTATCGCTATTTTGCACCTAATGACTATTAGTGTCGTGATTGCCATTTGTAAGCAGTTTTATCTCAAAACGCCCTGGCCAGTTTGCACATGGCCCCCTTTCATCTCTAGGTGAGACTTTACTGCATGTTTCAGAATCACGTTCATGTGTTTACTGTGAGGACCAAATGAAAAATGTGGCCGTGTGATAAAGAAACTTGCAGTGCGCCCAAACGAGGCGAGGTTCCGAGTTTCAGTGACTTGATGTGTCTGCAGTACAAAAAAATTGATCAGCACCACGTCAAAGGATCTCAAGCTAGAGGAACTGGAGAAGCAAACGTAGGGAAGTTGAAACAGGAGCTGAAACAGAGGTTGGAAAATCTCTGCATTAAACAGAAACATGCGACATAATCATGCAAGTCTCTGTTGTACATTTTAAATGTGGGTAATTCTGCCTGTTGGCAGGTTACTGGACGTGATCAGCAACAAGATTTACCAGGAGCATAAGGAGGACACCCTCCTAGATCATCTCAACCCAGCTGGTAGCAAAACCTATAGAATAGAGGTAAGATTTTCTTTTACAAATTATTCCGGTCGGTTTAACCCACCATTTGTTCTTTAAACCAGGCAGAATGTAAGTTTCCTACAAGGAAATGTATTGTCTCATGGAAATTGAATTTTAATATGTCGGAAATAAATATATGTTCGCTACAGAGGACCGCATTGTGACGTCATTTTGAACGGAAAGTGTAGTGCAAAGAAATGGAGCGTGTTGGTTCAGGCACTGGATTTTGCATTAATGCCTAACGACACATGATTGTACATGATGTATTTGCCACTGTACTCTTTTAGCAAATAGAACATAGCTGTTTATACCCAAGCATGCAACAACCCACCGATTCTCTAATCAGCAGAAATCACTTAGGTAAAGAATGTTACTTTTTAAGATGGTTTACAGTAATGCATTTTCTTCTGCAGAATTTGCAGAGTGGAAAGAGTTGAGTCAGATGTTTTCATAAGAAACCTCTCTATTGATGACACCATGCTTTATGCATATGCAGTCCTACATGTAGGGTGCTGAGTGGTCCCCACCGGCTTCATGGAAAAGTGCATGTTAACCTTATCAGTCCTCAATCCTCCGGTTTCAGCACCATTTTGCATACACCTTTGGGGTTAGGGTCAAACAAAGTGTGACATCATTTAACCCCTTCACGCCGGGACGCGTTAAAACATGCCGTAAAAATTGAGATCCTCAGCCGGCTTTTCAGCTATAATTCTCGGCCCATGCTCGAGTGAACACGGTGAAAGAAGGCAGACCCTGGCTCTTGTATATGTGTGTAGCCCAGAAATGAAAAGACCGAATTTGCATCATAATAACCAGCTTCACAATAGTCCCCACTTTGAAAAGAGGCAACGGGAATGTGGAAGCTTAAGTAGAGCCGCATGCCGACGAACAATCAGCATTTTCACTGTGTAATTCAAAGCGTGCAGAGCATGCTGGGCCACAAACCGAGAATTTGCAGTTTGGCAGGTGGCCTTCGTGGCGAAGCGAGGCTGAAATTCTTGGAGTCGGCTTTCGGAAAGATATTCCCGTCGAGAAGGGGTTAAGCACACAGTGCCTTTTGACAGTTCATCAGATATGCTACATTTCCAATCAGAAATATCTAGTTCAACAACTTCTGCCCATTGCCGACGTGTCATCATCCCGATTACATTCGGCACTGCCAAAGTTTGTCAGGGGTTTGCTTAGTTCTGTCCCAATTCAGAGTCCACTTTGTCGACCATGTGCTTGGCCATTTCTTTTGAACCTGCAGGAGATTCCCACAGACCAACTCAACCTAGGGGACAGTGAGATGCTTGTCTGTGCTGCTCACTACCACAAGGATCTCTTCAGCACTTTCGGCGTGCCCTTCCTGCTTAGAATCAAAGAGGTAGGTCTAACCTACTTGGAGATATTGATGTCTGTGTTCGTTTGGGGATAGGCTTCAAATGCCATGTGAAGATCTTGTTTCGCTTCATCTGACAAGATTTGGTGGCACAGTTGGAATGACTTCTGCAAGGTCTTGAATCGTGACCTTTTTCTCCCCTTGCCTTCAACCTTTGCGACCAAGGTCCAACCCCTTCCCCACTCATAACGACAAGTGGACTAGGTTGCTAGTCCTGCAATATTCAATGGGTTTTCCTTATTAGGGCATCATGGTTATTTACCCGTTTTCCTCAATACACTGACCCTCCCTCAAAGTCTACAAAGCATGAGAACAGTGGGAGTAGTTACAGATGCTCTAATATATTTTCAGGGTTTTTGTCTGACATCAAACACTGAACATTTCTTCTTTCAGGCTTTTCATTTGTACACTTGTTTATACACCATGGTTTCATCATCAGGAAGGGTCTAACAGTAACAGTCTCTCAAAGTAAACACATTTCAGAGAGAGGATATTTCTTCACTCTGTGCATGGCCATTAGGGGATTCCATACAGGTATATGTGCTAGGCAACCACATCTCCTTGAACCAAGTGCTATCTTCTAGAAATTTTCAGACCAAAAGAGAAAGTGTTCATTTTTATGTTGGTGTCAAGAGTAAAATTAATGCAGAAAAAGTAATGATGGATAATTCCTTCCCTTTAGGGTGAATTATTCTCTGATGTCAAAGAGAGAGTGAGGGAGATCCTAGATATATCAGAGAAGGAACTGGAAAAGGTAGGTTCATTTTTAAAACATTTTTTTTTTTCATTTTCTTTCCTTAGCCCTTCAATGAATTGCCCAGTGTGGTTATTTTTCCCCGTTTGCAGCGTTGGAAACAAACAAGGATACTACTGATCCATCAGAATCCATCTTCTACTCCAAAAAAGAGTGAAAAGTGAAATAATGGAAAGAAATATTTCTTTCATATAATTGCAGATCAAGTTTGCAATAGTTGTCATGGGCAGGCCAACATATATCTCAGAAGGTAAGAAAGCGATTGACTCATTGTGGACAGTTGGTTCATGAATCATTTAAGAACGAAAATAAGTTGATTCTTTTTGATGCCCCAAAGTCTTCTTGAACTGTTTCCAAAATGTTATTGACCTGTTTTCCTGGTCTGGTTATGAGCAAGTCCACATTGGAGGGTGGGTGTGGGCATTACATGCAGTGAAATATCTTTGGATAAAGTGACTTGAAATTAGTGCAGTTTTGCCTATTTGTATCTACTGCGACCAGCTTTCCTACAGGAAAAAATCTTTGTAACACCTTACCTTCCACTGACACCATGTGGATCTAACCGTTACCAGTACCACCGGTGTGGTACAGGAGGAGAGTGATCAAAGCCACTGTGCATGACATAAGTACAGAAGGGTAGGGGAGGTCTAGTAGTTGTCAGTGTTTTGTATGTAATTATTACCACTCGCGCTGCCCGAAATCGGACAAAGAAGTTGGGCCTTGTAACAAAAGACCGTACTCGGAACAAAAGACCCGTGCTGGGAATCACCATTACTCTTCAGCAGGCATTAGCAGAGGTAATCCGTCATTGTTTTGAAATGGTATACCTCTGTTTGTGGCATTCAGCGCCCGCGGATTGTCAGCGCGGACAAAAGTACTCCAGCGATGAGCGGCACAGTACCACTGCAGGCTAATCTGGCCGCATTTGAAAAAACGCCACTGCCATTCAGCAACGCACTGGGTCAATTTCGAGAACAAAGGAAATTACCCAACACTGCACACTGTGTGGGTGTAAGCGTCCAGTAAATGAAGTTGTGAAATTTTGAAGGCTTTTGAAAATGGAAAATCTTGAAAATGCCCTGGAAACTCATCCCGCACATACAAATTCCACCCAGCAGGAAGTGGTTAATGTACAGCCCCTTTTAAATGTCCTTCAGACCTTGTTTTATTTGTCTTGCTTGGGGGTACTTGTTTCAAGGGGTTGATTAGTCCCAACATTTCTCACTGTTCTCGCCTCATGGACTTTGCTGGTAGCGCTGAAAACTAGTATCCCTGAGTTTCCAGACTGTCGTCAGGTTTACTTTGACATCTCTTGATTTTTGTTTTCTATTATTTTCTCAGAGAGTGATGTCAGAGTGAACCTCAAGGATTTCCAGCCACAGATACACAGCAGTAAGTGCTCTTCCTTTTTCACTTCCACCACAAACTCTCTTGAGCACAACACTTGGTTGCCATCATTTCAGTAGATTCAACAGCAACTTGACTAGGGGCAACTCACAGTACAGTGCGCCACTAAGAGGTTGCCACGGAGAGGCTATTTTTCAAGTTTACGATTGACCAAAGCCTTGCCGCAATTTGCTTTTGAGGATATGTCACTCATTCCTTTGTACATTCCTTGGAATAGACAGAAGAAGGAATTGAAGCTGCCACTTAAAAAAATACTCTTTAGGAACCTTCTTCCTTGGCCAACAAGCATCAGGTATAATTCAAGTTCCCACGTGCAGTCAGTGAATGAAAGTTGTCAACCATTTCCCACAATGCACAGAAAAAAATGGCCTTTCCGTGGCCACCTCTTGTAGGTGTGCTGTACTGTGAATTGCCTGTACTGGGCTTAATTATTTACTGCTTAAGAGTTTGTTCAGTGGATACCCCCAGAGTATCAGTTGCTCTTGGATAGTAAAAAGTTATATTAGGCCAAAAAAAATCTCTGGTTTCTGGTCGGTGTGCGCATCGCCGTAGACCTGCACATCCGCAAAACTATACAGTTTTATTTGGTATATACAATGTCCAAAAGCTGCCAAACTTGCTTGATCTACTGAAATCCTGATACTGTGTAATTTTAATGTGTTTTTGATGGGTATGGTTGAGTAAGATGTAAAGCAAAGCGTCCCTCTAGACCCCCATACGTTTAGTTGGGCAGTCTTTTTCAGATGGTGCCATTTCTGGTTTATACATTACATCTGGGAACCACACAAAGGAGGTGGTTGTATGTCCTGTGTACATCTACAAGCTGAAAATCCTTTTAGACAGTAAATAGTGAGGGGGCCAGTCTATTTCACTGTTGGTACAAGCACATATACATGTGCATGTATTTCTAAGAACAAAAAGTGAGGGCAAAAAAAAAAGATGTGTCCCGGCACCACTTTCGGAGCCAGCCTCTGACCAGTAGTGACAGCGTCTGTTTCCCACTCTGCAGGTGGTACAGCACAACCCAGGCCGTGGCTGGGCCTTGACCACATGAACAAGAACAAGAAGCCTCGATTCAACTACTTTGAGAAAGCAATCAAGATCCTGAATTAGTTCTGAAACACCCCCCCAGCTTGAGTACATCCCAGTGTAGCTTTACTGGAACTCTCCCTCCCCACCCTACCAGTTTCAAGGTATTATAACCTCCTAGAATCGAAAAAAAAAACAGCATTCGCAATATATAAATTTCCATCCTCATTGTAGCGACACGTTTTTATGAAAAGGGAAGAAAGTAATCCAGTTTTTTTTTCAACCTACTTGCCTGAACTTTTTTTCATGTTGAAAATTTGGAAAAGAAATTCTTGCATTTGTACTCGCAAAAATAAATCGTTACGCAGATTTAATCATTGAACTATCACTAAACATCGTATGCTAATGTACAGCGCACAGGTTAGCATGATTTGTGAGTAGTCTAACGACATCTGATATTTTCACGTTCAGACGGAACAATCTATCATTGGTCACAGAATGAGCTAATGCTACATGGAGATTTCATTTGAAAGCCTGAATAATGCAGCAAACTTGCAAACACGGGGCTCCAGTTCACATGCTGAACAGTACCAATCATCGATCTCCTTATTTTGAACAAACTGTTCTCATACGTTAGCAAGACGGGCAAAAAGAATGGAAATTCTCATTGAGATTTCAAACAGTCTATGTGCAATTATTCTGAACAAAAGACAAACACAGATGGGTTAAGTATTCATTTTTAAGCTGTTGCAAGCTGTAATATAATATGTACATGTGCATTGGTTGGTTTTCTTGCCAAAGATAGGAAATCTTTGCGTTGGTTTTGGACAAGTTGTTCATAAAAATTGTACTATGACTTGAGCGCATTGCAGTGATAAGCCCATGTATCAGATGGGCTTGAATAGAGGAATGTGTCCAGATGGACTGGTACCAGTGTTTTGATGGTCCATACTAAAGGTGATCACTAGACGTCCATTGGGTGCCAGGCCAAGATGGCCAATTTTTGGTCAGCTCAAGCAGATTTGTCAGTCAATTGTCTCAGTGTCTGTTGCCGTGTTGGTCACTCGGGCGCAGACAGAGACATGCAAAGGAAAGATGGCAAGAGGCAGGTATTTCGATTTGTAGCACAGAAGATTTCTTTGTTCCCAGATCTTGTTATGATTTTGGGAAAAGAGAAACCAAGTTTACTCCACACAGAATGATCAGGCTTCAAATTAGGTGCTTGCAGATTCTAATAACATTTTAGGAAGGAAGGCTTTGTGCCTGGACGTGTGATGACAGCCCTCTATATACAGGACTCCAAGTTTAAATCTCAGAAAGAGCCAATCAAAAGCCGGATGCAAGTCACTATTTATTTTTTTGTAAATGATAGCTAGATGTAAAAGGAGAGTAGAATCTCAAGTCAAATATACATATGGAACAAATAATGATCTGTATTTCAAACTCCTTTGATTGGCACATCACGATAGCTGATGCAGAAAACCATAATGAGTAAAAAAAGAACCTGAACAGCATTTTCAGTTCTTTTTCTTGTAATGGTATTTTGATGCAATTTGAAAAGTACCGATCACAAGTGTTGATACGTGGATACTTGTCTCATTTCTGAGGATAGTCATGATTTACCCTCAGGGTGTGCCTCTGATTCAACAGTACAAGGTTGTGTCTGAAATATTACGGCTGTAACTACAAATAACACAGGGTCCTATGGAAGTCACTGTCTAGCTGCTGAGGCCTCTTGCTATAGACCTTTATTGTGGTGCTGCCATGTTTGTCTTGTTCCCCATAGACCCATTGGCAGATGTGATACAACTTTCCATGTTGAGGCAAGGGAACAGACTATTTTTGCTTCCAGCCTCAGTTTGGTTACATGACTTTGCATGGTAGAAAAGCAAGCTGGCTGCCCCATGATAGAGGTCTGTAGGCGTGTATGTTTCTCCCAGTCGCAGCCAGTTGATAACCTGATACAGATACAGTCGCATTCAAAATGTTGGCAACTTCGAGCATGCGGCACCTGCTCCACAAGCCAGCAGTGCCTTGCAATCTCTCCAGCTTCAGCTTGAAGAGTCCATGAAATCAAGCATGTAAAAATCATGGGGGAGGGTGATTTCCAATGTCTGGCTTCTTCTCTGTCTGAGGTTTCGTCTCTGAAATCATTACCACGCTTTTAGGCCAACAGTATTCAAGTTGAAAAGGAAAACTTAGGTATTTGATCAACCTGCGGGTAGTTTAAATGTTTTGTTGTTGGTGTGACTTATTATTGAGCTAACACTTTCAAAGTTAGGTTTCAAATCAGACAAAGCCGTAAATGGAGAAGAAGCTAAGTGTTGGTAAGACTTCCCATGTGTGAGGGCAAGAGGGTAAGCATTTTAGATAATTGCGTTTGGTAATTTGCAATGAATAAAGCCCTGTTGTTTGTTTTATTCTGTGTACATAACTGCCGGCCCACGGTAACTGAGTTATTTCAGCCATTAGGAAACCCATTTGTTTATAATTGTGGGGTTGATATTTGTACTGATTGCGCCACCATTATTGTTTGCCAAAAAGAAAAAGCTAAAGAAAAAGAGATCGGGAAAAAAATTTTCCTGGAAATCTCACCAGCAAAATAGGTTGTATGTATATATAACGTGTAGATTTTTTTAAATATAAAAACAATTCTCGGTGTGGGCCAGTATTCCCTTGTTATTGTATTTAATAGTAATTAAAATGACATGAGGCGTAAATAAAAGCCAACTCATTTCCAGGGAACACACCTGCTGCACCATTTAAGTCTAAATTCTGGGGAAAGTTGCTTGGTGATCTTGTATAATCATACATATAACTTCTTATTAAATGAAATTAAACACTCCTAAAGAAATCGCTAACACACAAGCATACAAAACCTTTTTGCAAGCAGAAATTGATCCACAATCATTTCCATTTCTACCGATACCTTTTCCACTTTTTTTTTTCCAGTTTGCTGGTAACAGTTTTAGTCGCCTCACAAAAAGGTGTTCCAAAAATCAGTTTCACTTTCATTTTCGTATCATGTTGATGATGCCGACTGGTAATGACTAAATGAGCTTTTTAACCGTATAACTTGCGCAACCAAAGTGGCATGAGCTATTTTTAGAATTGAAAAACTGAATAGTAACGAGTGAACTTCATTTTTGGACCTTTCTCCCGTTATTTACCTGTACTCAAACTGTGATTTTAAGCCAAAGGACAGTCGATGTCTGAATTGGACATTTTTCAGATGTTTCTGCTTTTATGTTCAATTTGGAGATTAGGTGTAGTTACTTCTGAATGCCTGTTTTTAGAAAGGTCCCAATGTAGCATCATAAAGTCAAAGAAAGAAACAATACTTCGGCTGCCCCGTTTCTCCAGTTTCTTTTTCCACTGCTTTTGTTTACTTAATTTCCATTCTTTGGCTATAACATCATTGGAAAGATACCCCTAAGAATACATGAAAAGATTCCACTTTTCTTGAACAGGAGGGAATCAAGGCGATGATGAACAAGCCCCAAATCAAGGGGGGGGGGAGGAACTTGAAATAGAAATGTAGTCTGTGTTTGTCTACCTACTGGTCACATGAGATTGATGTCTTGTTTTAATTTGGTTTAAACAGCAAAGAAAGGTTTCTTCATATTTGCCATTGCTAGTTTCAAAGTCAACATTTTAACTGAAACATGTTTCATGTTTCTGCATGCCCCTTTCATTCTGTAGGGCACTTTTGACTTATTTTTTTCTTGGGGGAAGGAAGTGGCTCGAAAAAATATCTGTCATTTGAAGTTGACTTTTCTTCCAGAGCCCTGTGCATTTTGACCATTTTGTTTCAACCAAAATGTACAATTTTATTTTTGCTTAGCCTAGTTCCATGTTATAAACTTGTGTAAAACAAAACTTGCCCCCCCCCTTGAAAATTGATTATATTTACTGGATTATTACCGGTATGTTAAAAATGATGTTGGACTAATCCACCTGATTTGGCTGCCGAGAGATCAAAGGTCTGACTTAGTACTAAGCTACAACAAACTTTGACCTTCTCGGAAAGCATGGCTAACGCTAAATTGTCAAAAAGCTTGTGTGTGTCAAAATGTATGTTATTGTGTTAATACCGCAATGCTTTTTTCTTTAAAATGGCAATTTCCTCATGATCATAAATATAAATGCTGCTTTTTTAAAACTCATGCAGGAAAGGAACCAATGTTAGAAAGGATGTCGGCCAAGCCATTGGAGTGCCGCGAATCTGAAAAAAAAATTTTCTTGGCACCGGCTTTTCTGTTTATCAAATGGGACGAGGGATCTTCTAGAATGCCTTAGTAGGTGTGCGATGTAACCAAGGTTCCAGCTTCTTACAGCATTGCAACACAGTTGTGTAGTGATTTTCTTTAATCTCCCCTGCCCCCCCCCACGACGAGAAAAGTGCGCATAGTAAACAAATGGGCTGTAAATTGCCAGTCTTTTTATTCTCGCTTGTGATTTTTTTTCAGTGCACCTACCTAGCAAGCTCCCCAGAAAAATAATGATCTCTTGTCTGTGACAAAGGTATGCGCACGAAACACAAGCAGAGTGCACACAAGGCAAAGCATTATACATGTATATATACATAATTTGTGTGTGTATGTATATGTGTATACTATTTTTGTTCTAAATATGGTTTGATTTAGATTACATTAGCTCTTTTTTATATTGCACATTTGGTAATTATTTAATCCACTGTCAGATGAAAGTCCGATGACAGGAGTGTGATGCACATACGTGTAGACTGTTCTGGCTGGCTTGGCTCAGTTAATATATTTGTATTGTAATTGTACATAAATTGAAGTTATCAAATTATGATGTAATAGAAAGAGAACACCGGGATAGGAAATGTAAACCAAACGGTATAGACCAATATTTGGGATTAAGTTTTTTTTTGTTTAATTGTAATAAAAAAATCACCTTGTAAATGTGAAGTGTTGATTGTTTGCTTAAAAGGCTGGATTTAATCGCTTTAATTCACCTTGTTCTTTGTTTTCACAAAGTTAACTGTTGTGAGGCCAGGCAAAATGGACAGAAAAAATGTGCCCTTTCCTCGGAAAACGGGAATAGAGAGCCTGCTTTCATCAGAGTTGTAAATCCAAGCAGACACAAGTCAGTCGCAAGCTCATCGCAAGTCAGTAAAATATGATCACGAGTAAAAGTAAAAGATGGATCGCAGACAACAGGAGATAAGAAATGACTGAAGACTAGCAGAAAAAAATATCTCTATCGCAGTGAAGTTGAATAGATTAATGTATGATCAGGGACATCTCCAGGAAGGGGTGGGGCAGAGCTCTGTTTTCATGTGGGGCACTCACCTGTAGCAGATCGATGAAATACCAGTTGAAGGAGGGCCTCCCTGAGGTATTTTCAGGCACAGCTGATGATTTTCATATCCTTGCTTCTTTTTGTTCTCTGTTCTTGTTAATGTTTCCTCCTCTCCTTATTTTTTCCCCATTTTTATCTCTACCCCTCCCCATGGCACCCATGCTTGAGACGGCCTTTGTACAGCCAGGCATGGGCATTGCCAGGATTTTTTTTTTGGGGGGGCAGCCACTTTTCTTCCAGTGGGAGAAATCCGGGGGGGGGGGCAGTGACAAAGCAGGAGTCATCAGACAAGGCAGGGGGGCATCAGCCATGAAGTAATAATCCATGAACAGTGGAAGGGGTTTCATTTGTTT